TTTCAATGTGGTAGTGGATACTGTGATTTCCTCTCTTAATGAGAGGTTCAAGACCTTGGGCGAGGTGAATGAAAAGTTCAAGGTATTGTTGGGGTTCACGGACATGTCTGACAAAGATATTGTCGGAACTCACACATAAGTTGTAACTTATTCACAACTACTGTGATCATCGTGCGCTGATGTCACAACAAATCTTCTACAAAACAACCCCACCAAAGATAAATTCAATTAACACCCTTCCAGAGCAAAGGGGGTAAACATTGACACATAAATGCCTCGGATACTTCTTAAATGGATACTCACCAAAATAAATAATCGGCAGTAGTATCGGTGACTCACTCAGAAAATTAAGTATCTCTAAAGAGGACAATACAAACTTTCAATTCACAAAGTACTCATAGCAATGCTCAAAATAAAATACTTGATGATACTTGACGAGAATGTCTCAAGAAAATATAACTCTGTAGCTTTCACGGATGATTAACACAAAGCGGATTTTCTGTACTCACAAGAATTCACTGTCTTTTTCAATTATCTTGACACTGTGTTAACACTACACAATTTACTCTGTGCTTTACTCACAATTGGTGGTCCTTACATGTACAGAGGGTGCTTCCAGCAATTCATTTTCAGAGATTGTATGTCTTAGATGTCCATTTCACCACAGAGTCCTCAACCCACTCAATACTATGGCTGAAAATACACCGGAATTAGTTCTCAAATACATATAACCTCTTTACCAACAATGCATATCAGTCTACACTGTAAGAAATGGTAAGGCGCTATGTAATAAAATTCTCCGTTAAATAAAAACAGGTTGAAAAATACAACAATGAAAAATTTAACACCAAACTTGTGTTATCTCAATAAATTCAATGGTAACAAATTGACTCCAACTGAGAACTAGTCATTTGCTCAGCACACATGAAAGTAACATAGAACACACTAAAAAAACATGACAACATAGAAGGAACTGGAGGTCAACATTGCAAGTGGAAGGACGATAGACAGACGGGAAATGGAAATGTTAATGGCTGAGTGGAACGGGTGGTGCCAAGTCCTCACTAGACTAATGGCGATTATTCAGTCTCTAGCTGAAAGCAATTTGGCTCTAGAGGGTCAGCCGAAAAACTTAACTGTCAATCCAATGGTAATTTTCTCCAAGAAGTGGAACTTTAAGTAGGGTTGAAAGTAATGCAGGCAATCACAGTCACACTACCTTGGGGTTCCTTGAGGTAGAGAAGTCTACAGGGCTAAATTTGTCATGAATTCTACTCGGAAGACAAACAAATGAACATTTCTTTTGAGGATTATCGAGGTCAATCCTACGACAATGAAGCAAATATGAGAGGAAACATCAAAGGAGTTCAAGCCAGGCTTCTTCAACAGAATTCTCGGCCCTTATTTGTCCCTTGTGGTGCCCATAATTTGAATTTTATATTAGGTGACGCGCCAAGAGCTCCCTAAATGCAACTTGTTACTTTGGATATTTAACGAAAGTATTCACATTGTTTTCAGCCTCTCCTCAGAGGTGGCAAGTTCTTTTAAAACATGTTAATATTACTCTGAAATCGTGGTCAGACGTCAGATGGGAAAGCCGAGTAAAAAGTGTGGAGGCAATTAGATATCAACCTCCGCAACTCAAAGAAGCGCTTTTGGAGCACAGAGAATCTGCAACTGACCCTGTCGTCAAAGTTGAGGCTTAATCGTTGGCAGAGGAAGTAGGGTCATACCGTTTTGTCATTTGTTCAGTTGTGTGGTATGATATACTCAGCAAAATTCAGCACGTGAGCAAACTAATGCAGTCGACTACGATACAGCTCGGCGTGGCTGTAGATCTGCTGAAACAGAAGAGACTAAGAACTAAAAAATGTCACTTTAGCTATGAGTGTGCAGACGAACCTGTCAGCGATGTACTCAAGAGGATGGAGACTACATTTTTCAATGTGGTAGTGGATACTGTGATTTCCTCTCTTAATGAGAGGTTCAAGACCTTGGGCGAGGTGAATGAAAAGTTCAAGGTATTGTTGGGGTTCACGGACATGTCTGACAAAGATATTGTCGGAACTCACACATAAGTTGTAACTTATTCACAACTACTGTGATCATCGTGCGCTGATGTCACAACAAATCTTCTACAAAACAACCCCACCAAAGATAAATTCAATTAACACCCTTCCAGAGCAAAGGGGTAAACATTGACACATAAATGCCTCGGATACTTCTTAAATGGATACTCACCAAAATAAATAATCGGCAGTAGTATCGGTGACTCACTCAGAAAATTAAGTATCTCTAAAGAGGACAATACAAACTTTCAATTCACAAAGTACTCATAGCAATGCTCAAAATAAAATACTTGATGATACTTGACGAGAATGTCTCAAGAAAATATAACTCTGTAGCTTTCACGGATGATTAACACAAAGCGGATTTTCTGTACTCACAAGAATTCACTGTCTTTTTCAATTATCTTGACACTGTGTTAACACTACACAATTTACTCTGTACTTTACTCACAATTGGTGGTCCTTACATGTACAGAGGGTGTTTCCAGCAATCCATTTTCAGAGATTGTATGTCTTAGATGTCCATTTCACCACAGAGTCCTCAACCCAATCAATACTATGGCTGAAAATACACCGGAATTAGTTCTCAAATACATATAACCTCTTTACCAACAATGCATATCAGTCTACACTGTAAGAAATGGTAAGGCAGTATGTAATAAAATTCTCCGTTAAAAAAAAAGGTTGAAAAATACAACACTGAAAAATTTAACACCAAACTTGTGTTATCTCAATAAATTCAATGGTAACAAATTGACTCCAACTGAGAACTAGTCATTTGCTCAGCACACATGAAAGTAACATAGAACACACTAAAAAAAACATGACAACATAGAAGGAACTGGAGGTCAACATTGCAAGTGGAAGGACGATAGACAGACGGGAAATGGAAATGTTAATGGCTGAGTGGAACGGGTGGCGCCAAGTCCTCACTAGACTAATGGCGATTATTCAGTCTCTAGCTGAAAGCAATTTGGCTCTAGAGGGTCAGCCGAAAAACTTAACTGTCAATCCAATGGTAATTTTCTCCAAGAAGTGGAACTTTAAGTAGGGTTGAAAGTAATGCAGGCAATCACAGTCACACTACCTTGGGGTTCCTTGAGGTAGAGAAGTCTACAGGGCTAAATTTGTCATGAATTCTACTCGGAAGACAAACAAATGAACATTTCTTTTGAGGATTATCGAGGTCAATCCTACGACAATGAAGCAAATATGAGAGGAAACATCAAAGGAGTTCAAGCCAGGCTTCTTCAACAGAATTCTCGGCCCTTATTTGTCCCTTGTGGTGCCCATAATTTGAATTTTATATTAGGTGACGCTGCCAAGAGCTCCCTAAATGCAACTTGTTACTTTGGATATTTAACGAAAGTATTCACATTGTTTTCAGCCTCTCCTCAGAGGTGGCAAGTTCTTTTAAAACATGTTAATATTACTCTGAAATCGTGGTCAGACGTCAGATGGGAAAGCCGAGTAAAAAGTGTGGAGGCAATTAGATATCAACCTCCGCAACTCAAAGAAGCGCTTTTGGAGCACAGAGAATCTGCAACTGACCCTGTCATCAAAGTTGAGGCTTAATCGTTGGCAGAGGAAGTAGGGTCATACCGTTTTGTCATTTGTTCAGTTGTGTGGTATGATATACTCAGCAAAATTCAGCACGTGAGCAAACTAATGCAGTCGACTACGATACAGCTCGGCGTGGCTGTAGATCTGCTCAAAAAGACCAGAGATGATATTGTCAGCTACAGAAATACAGGTTTTGCTGATGCACTAACTATTGCTAAAGAAATCTGTGAAGCGATGAGCGTAGACACGGTGCTGAAACAGAAGACTAAGAACTAAAAAATGTCACTTTAGCTATGAGTGTGCAGACGAACCTGTCAGCGATGTACTCAAGAGGATGGAGACTACATTTTTCAATGTGGTAGTGGATACTGTGATTTCCTCTCTTAATGAGAGGTTCAAGACCTTGGGCGAGGTGAATGAAAAGTTCAAGGTATTGTTGGGGTTCACGGACATGTCTGACAAAGATATTGTCGGAACTCACACATAAGTTGTAACTTATTCACAACTACTGTGATCATCGTGCGCTGATGTCACAACAAATCTTCTACAAAACAACCCCACCAAAGATAAATTCAATTAACACTCTTCCAGAGCAAAGGGGGTAAACATTGACACATAAATGCCTCGGATACTTCTTAAATGGATACTCACCAAAATAAATAATCGGCAGTAGTATCGGTGACTCACTCAGAAAATTAAGTATCTCTAAAGAGGACAATACAAACTTTCAATTCACAAAGTACTCATAGCAATGCTCAAAATAAAATACTTGATGATACT